TTCGGTAGTGCCGAACCAAACGTTGTGAAGGAAGTTGTCACCCAGGCCCCTGTATACCGATTTGTACCAGAACTCGATTTCACAAACTACAACTATCCACCAAAAGTTGAAATCCAAGTACCAACAGTTTACAATGTTCCGGCCTCCGTTTATGGACCACCAGCCACCACTTATGGCGTCCCAAACTAAAAGTTTAGGGCAATAGTATCGAATGTCCAAATTGAATTAATAGATATTTCACTGGCATTTGCAAATTTCGTATAAGATAATTTATTAAACATTAGATACAAAATCATATAGAATTATGTGAATGTATTAGATAACTAACACGTTGAATGGATTAAGTGACATGAATGGAAAATTGTAGTAAATAAAATTTCTAATCAAAGTAAAACCCTTTGTTTTAATGCTTACGATCATCGTCACCATTCGAAAAGAGACATTTAAAATGCGATTGTGAATTTTTTTCGGTCGTCTCCATTCGTCGAAAAAAAGTAATATGCATTCAAAAGTTCCATTATTTACTCCTTACAGTAGGCGACTTTTGTCTGTTATTCAAAAAAAAGAAGTCCAATCAATGGTGTCCATGAATGTAACATTTTCGAATGAGTGCACTTTGTAGAATTGAAAGTGTACAAGCCTTAAAATCATGTGCGTTGAATAATAAATATCAGCATGATAACATATTGATATGGCATCGAGACAAGTCATTTTGCTGAATTCCCAACTTGTGTGTATCCAACTGACACATTTCTGAATTCGATCGAATCGAAGGAGATAGAGAAACAAACAAACAAAGGTCTTTCGATGAACTTGGTAGTGATGATAATTGATGGTAATTGTGACTGCCTAGTGATTTAAATTTAAAATATATATATATACGTATATGTATTAAATGAAATAACAACTGTTTCAGTTCAATTGCGCATTTTAGTGTTTGAATAATAAAATTGCTCATTACTAATAGTATAAATATTATTTAAAGAAAAAAGTGAGCAAAAAAAATCAAAAAAATTAACGATGTTGTTAAATCCAATACAATAAGATTCACGTACAGTTTGCATCAGCGATACGTGGTGGTGGTGATTGTTGTGATTTCCAAAGAAACGAAAAAAAAAAATCAATTGTGTATTCGCTGGTCCGTACACCAGATAGATAGTCGTGATAGTGTGACACGATTTCGGTTTCATCTCTTGGATCGAATGGTGTGTGCGAGTGTGCTACCATTCAAGTACAACAAAACGTACACGATCACTGTTAATAAGATACTCCAAAAAGGTGTATTGTTCAAAGTTAACGCTATTGATTTGTGTTTTATATATATTCTGTTGTCATTTGTGTATGTGTGAATAAGAATATATTTTTACACTTTCAAAATTGATTTGTTTCTTGACTTCCTGGTTTTTAACAACAAAAAGAGCCGAACGTGACATCAAAACCTAAACAAACTAATTTAGTCATAAGTAAGTTTCATTCGAACTTCAACCTACTCAATCGTACTGAATTTATCCGTGTGTACAGTTGTGCTTTACAAATATGGCACCGACTGAAACCGCTAAAATCGTAAAAAGACAGACAGAAAGAGAGAAAAAACGAATTAGTTTAACATTATCTTGAGTCGTCTGCGAATGCTAATCTGTGTGTTATAAAAACAATAAAATCAGAAAACATATTTCATTCTCTCTCTGTGTTACTCTTTTTTTCTGTACTTTTTTAATCGAACTCTCTTACGTATAGTGATCGTACGAAAGCCGATTTGCAAAGTAAAAAACCGGATTAGAACAAATTTCACGCTACACACGCATACATACGATCGTATAACACACGACGTGACTGTCATTGATTGCTTCGTTTATTTGGATTCGGATGTAGTACAATAGTAGCGGATTTACTCGCAAAATACAGTGCACACATTGATCCTATAATATTCGATTCAATTCAAAACAGAATTTCAAGAAGAGTGTCGAGTATGCGGTTGATTATTTTTCTGTTTATAAATTAAAATAAAGCGCATGTCTCTTTTTGCGATTAAAAAAAAAAAAATCTCTTTTATCAAGTTGATTTCAGTTTGTTTTTGTTTAACTGTTTTGTTTGTGGATATTTTTGTGTATGTGAACTTCTTTTTATTTCCCTTGCACAGATACATGGATCGAAAATGGAATTTGTGTCAGCTGATTGCTGCTTTTTGTTTATTGGCTTCAGTATTGGCCGATGATCCTCAACCTATAAGTGAAGAAGAGCTAAATAAATTAATAGGGAGTATATTTAATATTCCAAGCAGCGAAACTCTGCCGCCAACCACAAACGATATTTCGACACAGCCCACAACACAAACATCATCACGTCCATATTCATCATATCCAACATCAGATCCTCGTCCATCACCAACGCAACCACATCCAACACCACCAACATCAAGTGAACCAAATGTAAATTTCATCGTCATTAGATACATTCAGAAAACTACATTTATACATTGTGATTAATCAAATTCATTTTTAGCCATGTGAATTGGGAAGCGAATGCGTTCCATATTATTTATGTGCAAACGGGAGCATCATTACAAGCGGCGAAGGAATTTTAGATGTGAGGTAATTTTGGAATCTTTTGTGGGTGTTTTTTTTTTTTGTATGAAAAATAAAATCAATTATTCATCAATTGACCGCGAAGATTTGGCGAAGAAGACAATCCAGATCCAGTATTTCATCCGTGCAAAGGATTATTCAAAACATGCTGTTCACTTACAACTGACGAACCGAACATACCAAAAATTCCAAAGAAAGAGGGATGCGGTCACCGAAACAATGACGGTGTCGGATTTCGCATAACGGGCCAAAAAGACAGTGAAGCACAATACGGTAAAACTTAAACGAGTTTATTTCGCTCTATCTCTCTTTTGGTTTGTAAATGTGTCCTAAATAAAATTGACGAACAAATGGTATCGTCAACTTCGTTGAAAGAAAATATTTTGCATTTTTGCACTTAATTGCGGTGATTTCATTTTGAATTTGCCTTGCATCTCTTTCTTAAAGGGGAATTCCCGTGGATGGTAGCCATCATCAAAGAAGAACCATCACTACAAGATGTATTAAATGTGTACCAATGCGGTGGGTCATTGCTACATCCATTGGTTTGTAGATGCAAAGTAAATCGAGAAATACCCATGTTCTTGAGATGAACATGTTTTATCGTTTTAGGTTGTATTGACTGCAGCTCATTGTGTGTATGGAAAAAAGATCTTAAAAATTCGCGCCGGTGAATGGTAAATATTAAATTTGTGTATAAATTTAATCTTTTACAAACGATACTTTTTTTTTTTTTAATGTATTAATAATGATTGATAGGGACACGCAGACCAGAGACGAGCTATTTCTACACCAAGATCGCATAGTCAGCGAAATTATAATACATCAAGATTATTATAAAGGCGGTTTATTCAATGATGTTGCTTTGTTAGTACTCAAAGAACCGGTTGAATTCAATGAAATTGTAAATGCTATATGTCTGCCGCCACAAGATTACAACTTCGATGGAAACCGCTGTTATGCATCGGGATGGGGTATGATAATATATCGCTGAGGATGAAAATGACGAAAACATTACACTCTGAAGTTGAAGATTTAAGGGGGTGTTCTAATTGTAAAAAAAACGAGAATGGTAAGCTAAAATTTTCATTCTATCTAGTGTAGACCGAAAGGGGATTTTGATTCCATTTTGAAAGGGGATTGAAATGATTCACCAGGGGGTGAATTTTGGTCCAAAAAACTTGGCAAAACGGAAGAAATTTTCCCATTAAAAAACTCGTAAAAAATCGAAAGAAGGGGTCTTCAACTTCGAGAGTGTATTGCATCGCTAGGAGGGGGCAAACGGACCCATCTGGTCATGACGTATGTCTTCTGCTAAGGACGTATCATGTAGTCATTTTTATTCTCAGCAGAATGTATAAAACAGCCAACTATTTTATTTAAACAAAACAACAAGATGATCAATGGGTGATGTCGTGTGATAATGATTCGTGTATTTTTCAACAGGAAAAGACGTATGGGGAAAGGAAGGCAAATATCAAGTGATATTGAAAAAAATCGATTTACCAATTGTTCCACGCTCACCGTGCGTCGAACGATTACGTCAAACACGATTGGGAAACCATTTTAACTTACATAATTCATTTATTTGTGCTGGTAAGTCTATTTGATCAAATTTTATATTTAAATATTTTATACTAAGAAATGATCATTGTGTTGTGGATACAGGCGGTGAAAGAGGAAAAGACACTTGTAAAGGAGATGGAGGAAGTCCACTTGTTTGTCCCATTCCTGGCCATCGGGAACGTTATTTCCAATCGGGCATCGTGTCGTGGGGTATAGGTTGCAATGAGCAGAACCCAGGTCAGTTTAATACATATAAGCATTAAAAATCATTTTTTATGTAAGATCGGTAACTAAACGGTTCTCATTATTCCGCTTGATACAACTTAAGTTAAACGATGGCGATTGGTTAGATTTTAAATTAAAAATGCTTTGATTTCAATTCGCAGGAGTTTATGTGAATGTGGCGCGATTCAAAAGTTGGATTGACGAACAATTCCAATATAAATCATTAGACACCAGCTACTATTCGATTTAAATTGAAAAAAATAATAATAAATTATTCATTTTCTCTGTAAAACAAAATTGGAGATAAATAAAAAAGAGAAAATAAAAACGTTTGTAAATTAAGTATATTTTATGGTTATTCTTTTGCAAACGGTCATGTGGATTTTTTCCATCGATTATTTAAATGAAAAGTCAAAAGATTTCACCAACAACATTTCTTTTTTAGACCGCAACAAGCAAATGTAATGTGATTACTGTATGTTGGTAATAAAAAGTATGGGAAATTCCCGGCAAGTAACTCGATCTGTACGAGAAGAATATCCAGACTATTGAGTTTTATAATGAAGAATGTATCATTGTGGTGTACGTCATTGATGAAATCATGCTTACTGTGAGCATTTGTTCGATGCAGATAAAGCCACCGCTGCCACCGTCGTTGCTGTCGCCGCCAAATACCAGTTTTTGACTTTAATACAGCGTGCACATTATATATTCACATCACAAACGATGAAAAATCTCTACGAAGAAGACAACAACTGAAGAGCGAATCGAATTCTTGTTTGTATACCATATACAAACAATGATATAAAATAAAATAAAAAATTACGTACACACGCAATGTTGATTTGCTATATTCTAACTGAGACTGGGCGACGATCAGGTTCATACGGCATTGAAATCGCGTTCGCGTTATCACTCTCTCTCTCTCTCTCTCTCTCTCTCGCGATCGCTCTATGTTTCTCTTTTGATCTCAAACTTTTCTACACCAATTCTGCGCAACGTTATACATTTAAATCGAGTGCAGTTTATGTTTGGATATCATAACGATTTCAAATTTTCAATTTTGAACAAGAACAAGATTTTTCTAAAATTTTGCACCGTTTACGTTTTATCATTTTTTATTTGAATTTTATTTTGTAGCAATGTGATTTGATAATTGAAGCGCTGTCGCGTTTCTCTCTCTCTCTTTCTTTCTATCCCTCTGAATGCATTCGTTGCCGTTGTTTTTATTTTGCGATTTACTTGTGGATGTGTGTTTTTCCCTTTCTCATACTTCAACACAGCTCATGTGAAACAACTTATATACACATGCAAAGCGAAATGTTGTAAATATGTCTCGTAATCCGTACGTTCAACGGCAATCCTGATATAAACATCGAAGTAATTCAATGGTTTCACTTAATTGTGCTCGACACGGACACCGATAAGTGGTACACACTGTACGCCTTTTAAATTAAATATAGAAGCCGATTTGTTGGTGTGTTTTTTTGTTCGTTATTTTGATTATATTGTCTGCCGCAAATTCCGAATTTTGTGCGCTCGTGTTTTTTCTTATATTTTTATGGATTTTGTGATTTTAGATCAATAGTTGACTTGCCGAATCATTTGCAATGAGATTTTTGCTGATTTTTACTACGGCCATTGCCATATTTGGCGGTGTTGTTCGTTGTGATGACGATACAACAGCCACCACACTCAATCCGAATGAAAAGATACAAACAACTGAAACTCTATCAACGACCATTGAGGAGAACAATGGCGCTGTAATCGATGGAAACAACAACAGCAACAACGGTACTGCCATCGGCATTGAAACAAAGATCGATGCTGTTTCCGATCCCAGCACCAGCAGTTCGTGTTCATCATGCACGGCTGAAGATCCATCAAAAATATCAAATGTAAATTGACCTTTTATCATTTGAATGGCATACAAATGTCTACCAATCTATTTTTTTATTATTATTGTAAAGCCATGTGAAGTGGGTGAATGCGTCCCATATTATTTGTGTTTAAATGGGTCGATCATCACAAGTGGGGAGGGAATATTAGGTAATTTTGCAATCTTTCGTGTTTTCTTTTTGTATGAAGAAAAATCATTCATTATTATTATAATTATTAGATGTTAGACTTGGCGCCGATGATGATCCAGAACCAGAACGTCATCCATGTCCCGATTTCTTCGACACCTGTTGCAGCCTTCAATCGGAAACCGGAATTGTTAAAGAAATCGTTAAGCCACCGCCACCAATTGAACGTCAAGATAAGTGTGGAATTCGTAATAAAAAGGGTGCTGTATTCACTTTGATCGAACGCGAAAATGAATCCCAATTTGGTGAGTATTTAAATTTGCATTGGCAAAGAAAGCGAGAACGAATTATTAACCATGATCGATGATTTAGGCGAATTCCCGTGGACTGTGGCCGTTATTTATAAAGTTCGTGATAACATGAATGTGGTTAATGTCTATAAATGTGGAGGCAGCTTAATTCATCCACAGGTGGTTATGACGGCCAGTCATTGTGTTATCGATTTACCCAATGTTCAAGACATTATGATCAGAGCGGGCGAATGGGACACTCAAACGAATGATGAACCGTTTCCACATCAGGATCGATCTATAACCGAAGTTATAATACACGAACATTATCGTCGCGGATCACATTTCAATGATATAGCTTTGTTGATTTTGGAGAAACCGGTTGAAATGGCTGAAAATGTCAATACAGCTTGCCTTCCGCCACAAGATTTTGTGTTTGATCATCAACGTTGTTATGCCACGGGATGGGGTTGGTTCTTGTCGCATATCATGCATATTTATCACATTAATTTATAATTTCTGCTCTTCATAGGCAAAGATAAATTCGGTAAAGATGGACTTTATCAGGTGATTTTGAAACGAGTTGAATTGCCAGTTGTTCCTAGCGAAGAGTGTCAAAATAAATTACGTGAAACTCGCCTCGGACGCCATTTCGTATTAGATCCAAGTTTCATTTGTGCCGGTAAGAATCATGTGATTTTGTAGCAATAATAGTTTGAGCAAAATTCATTTTTTTTTGCATTGTGCAGGTGGTGAAAAGGGAAAGGACACGTGTCAAGGTGACGGTGGATCACCGTTAAACTGTGAAATCGCTGACAATGAATATGGTCAATACTATTTAGCTGGAGAAGTTGCCTGGGGTATCGGGTGTTTTGATGCCATTCCAGGTGTCTATGTAAACGTAGCCAAATATCGTCATTGGATCGATAAGTTGTTTGACGAACGAAATTTTGATAAAAAATTCTACACAACATTCTGATCATTTTAGCAACAAAACAAACTAATAACAAAAATACATGCATTTAACACATCAATTTTGAATAACAATTTTTAAATTAAACTTTCTGATTTGTTATCGCTAAGATTTTTTGAAAACAAATTAGAAATATACAAAATAGAAATAATAGTAATTACGTTAGGTTCGGCATTTTGATCGAATATATATGTCAACTATTGTCATCTTCCATATAATTTTCGAAAATTATGTTTTCAATATTGAAACGGTAAATTAGTAAAACAAAAACAAAAACTATTTTAAAAATGCAACCTTGATTTTTTAATTATTAATTTTTTTCATAGACGCAGAAATCATAATCGATAATGGTTATCTATGAATTTAAGATGAATGGAAATTAATATTTTCGAATCAAATTTCGTTCTATGACATTTTCATGCTCCACTCACTTAAATAAAACTTTAGCAAAAAGTTTGTTTTAATTATAGATTAAGCCGTCATAAACCACACATTTCAATTATCATGTGGTGGCGTTACATTTAAATAAAATCTCAGGCGAAGTTTCTCAATTATAACATTCATTGGGATGCACAACCAGTTTTTGGTAGCAGTTTTTGGAAGCAAACAACAAATTCTATTTTTGAAATATCCAGCCAACCCAATTCCAGGAGTTTTATAGATTTTTTTGGTTGGAACCACAGCAAATTGACCCCAGTTAAACAACTATATCGATTTTCATATATTGTTTCAACAAAATGTTAATTAATTATCGCCATAGCAACGGTTTCCATATCGCCATATCAATTTAAATTTCGGCAAAGATTAAAATTTAAAAACGGCTTAATGCGATGAATAAATAAAAAAAATATGTTTCATATTCATGTTGTTTGGATATTGCGAATCGGAATTTTCGACATGACCTCAGAGGAAAATATGTTTACAATATTGGAACCTTGAAACTGCGGAAATTTGGTAATCCAAAATTGATCATTGGTCACACAGATTTGTTTTTTTTTTTTAATGGGGCTTTCTTTCCAAGAGAGAAACTTATCGAAAATTTGGTTCATTATCATTGTAGTTTCTATCTCTGAATTCCCACTCTCAGTAGGTCATAAGCGATAATATTTTTTTTCTATTGATTTTTTTCACACTAATTGTTGTTTCCAATGAGTAAATGAATTTAATTCGATTGAATGCAAAGTGTGCACCACACATACACAGTTTGAGATAATCAATACATCAAAAGGCATCACAAATGTCTGTTTATGTTGTTCTAGACGAATGTGTCATTCTAAAGTCAAATGAAATGAAAAAAACTAAATGTTGTTGTTATTTTTTCTCTCCACACGGTCAACTATATAAGTTTTATGGTCATTGTGTTGGAGTACCGTTGTAAATGGCAATAAAAAATGACGATGTTGGGATTTTCGAAGCATGCATAAAATAATTTGGTAAAAAAATGGGGATGTGGATGCGTTTGAGAAATTTATTTTCGTACATACAAAGCTGATAAGGCGCAGTCAAAGTGCACGGGGTCATAATAGGTCTGGAAATTCCAGTGATTTTATCGCACTATACAATGCCATATTATGCTAAATGACAAGCGACGATGGCCATTATCATTGTAGTTGTCATCGTCGTAGTCGTCGTCGTTGTCGTCTCGTCGCCGCACATACATACCTACATTAGTTCCGACTGTCGAAGATACCACAAACACAATCGTATCTTTTTTGTATGAAGATATTAAATGTGTAAATGTGTGTATTTGCCAAATATCTACTGTGACCATTGTCAATGTTGGCTATTCTTGCTTAATGGTGCACCGAGAAGATGTCTCGTTTATGAAGGTATGCGGCATCGATCGCATCTTGTTGGTCATGTGTTGTATGTTTGCGTTGCTTTGTGACGTTTCAATGTTGGTTTTTTTTCTTCATTTTACTGTTTTTTTTTGCTGCGTTCACCACTCAGTCACAGTACTATCGCACCGAGACGAATTCAGTGTCAACCGATTGACGCACGCGTACAATCAAATCATTCATTTGTTAACAGTATACTGGTTTGGATCGATTTGGAGCTTGGTAAATAATAAATTTAATTTGATTTTCATTTTGTTTCATTTTTCACTCGCTTTTTTACCCCGCCCGATAATTTGGAGATGTTTGATTTATTTGGATAAATTATATTGTTTTTTGTAGCTGTACTGAAAATCCAAAACCAATAACATTCGTCTTCGTTGTTACAGAGCTGATTTAGTCAAACTTTGTATAAGTGTGTGTGCGCATGTGTGTGTGTAAAATCATCTTCTTGGGTGTTTCTTCTTTTTGCATCTTGTCGATTCCATATTGATGAACAAATTACGAAGAAATAGAAACGAGTCGAACAAAAGCAATATTGTTTGCGACTGAAATTTTCGAGTTTAAAGTAAATTCGTTGTAATAATATATATGGTAAATTATTCGATGGGTTTTTCCCATATTAAAATCAGAAATTATATAGCTTTTTACTAATTGAATCGGTTGAATTGTAAATTGTCATTTTATTACGAACGAAAAAGTGGACGATTAAAACGTACAGTTATCGTTTGTATTCGTAGTACGTTATTCTGAAATTGATCATTTCGGTGGAAATATATATATATATATATAAAAATAACCGGTTTTATGTGAATCTATCATTCAATTGTAGTTTGCTGCTTACTTCATTCTACTTATACTAAGAATTTCATTTGAAAAGAAAAAAAAAAAAAGACACAAAAGTTATTGTTATTCTTTCTCCTTCGATTTTCCAAATTAGATTCATCCAATATAAATAAAGATCATGCGAAAAACGGTGATTTTTTTGGCATTGATTGCCGCCGTTGTGGTGGTTGCTCACCCACAAGCTCCACCGCCAACAGATACAGATCCAAAGGGTGAACAGTTACCCGAACTGCAAAGTAAACAAACCTTGGACGAATTAATTTCACAGATTTTTACACAGGACAATAGTGGTTTCAATCAAAATTCAACGCCTCAACCACCAGTCATTGTTCAAGGTCAAGGCAATGATGGTACAATGAACGGTGGCAACTATGGCGGCGGTAGTCAACAGCCACAATATCCAAGTCAGTTGCCGATTACCACACTACCATCAACATATCAACAACCAAGTCAGCCACCAACTTATACACCTCAACCACAACAGCATAATATTCCCACACAGCCACCATATCAGCCGCCTTATCAGCCATCACAACCACTAACACCATCAAACGAGCCAAAAAACGTTAGTACTTTCTTTACTATTTTTTAGACGAGCAATGGCCCATTTTTATATGACATTTAAATAATCGATTTTCCATTCGATCGTTGTGAATTCATTATATAGCCTTGTCAATTTGGAAGTGAATGTGTGCCATATTACCAATGCGCAAACGGAACGATTATCACTGATGGTGAAGGCCTATTGGATATTCGTTTTGGTCAAGAGGAGAATATCGATCCGCAGCGTCATCCATGCCCGGGCCTGTTTAACACATGTTGTTCATTACGTTCTGAAGTGCCAACGATTCCAAAAGTGACACCCAATGTCGGTTGTGGTTTTCGTAATGTTGATGGAGTCGGATTTAGAATCACCGGTGACAAAGATAACGAAGCTCAATTTGGTGAGTATTTAAATTTGCATTGGCAAAGAAAGCGAGCACGAATGATTGACGAATTATTTACCATAATTGATCACAGGCGAATTCCCGTGGACCGTGGCCATTTTAAAAGAAGAAAAAGCACTAGACGGACAAATTTTGAATGTATACGTATGCGGTGGATCTTTGATTGATCACAACGTCGTATTGACTGCCGCTCATTGTGTCGATAAGAAAGAACCACATATTTTGAAAGTTCGTGCCGGTGAATGGTAAGTGATCAATTTGTTTTTTGTTTTTCTATTTTTTTTTTATGTAATAATAATCATTGATAGGGACACACAGACCAAAGATGAAATCTTTCCTCATCAAGACAGATCTGTGCGAGACTATGTCATCCATCCGGAATATCATCGTGGCGCTTTGCATAATGATGTTGCTCTGTTATTCCTTGCACAACCAGTTGATATTGCTGAAAACGTTAATACTGTTTGCTTGCCAAATCCGGGTGATGTTTTCGATCATGCAAGATGCTTCGCTTCAGGTTTGTCAAAAAAATCCATAAAAAGAATCCATAAAAGAGACTAACAGAATTTCATTTTCCAATCGGTAAGGCTGGGGAAAAGATCTTTTTGGTAAGGATGGTAAATATCAAGTGATCTTAAAACGAGTTGAACTTCCTGTCGTGCCATTTGCACCATGCCTACAGAAATTGAGAGAAACACGCCTTGGCAACCATTTCAACTTGCATAAGAGTTTCATCTGCGCCGGTAAGTTATTATATAAATGGACACTGATATGGATCTACTCAAAAATATTTTACTTATTATTAATTTTTGTAATTCATTTTTTTTTTTAATTATAGGCGGTGAAAGAGGTCGTGACACCTGTAAGGTAATTAAATTAAACTTTCTGATTTGTTATCGCTAAGATTTTTTGATTCAAATTTTTAATTACCGTTTAATTTAAGGGGGACGGTGGAAGTCCATTGGTGTGTCCTATACTTAATGCACCGGGACGGTATGCACAAGCCGGAATAGTTTCATGGGGCATAGGTTGTGGAGATGCTACCCCAGGTATACCAATATACTCCTTTTTTTCTATTTTAAGTTTGCTTCACACCAAATTTATTTATACATTATGCATTTCCTTTCTTAGGTGTCTATGTAAACGTTCCGATGTTCAGGCAATGGATTGACGAGCAAATGCGATTGAATAAATTGACTCCGAATTCGTATTCGCAATAATTAGAACAACAAAAGCCATAATAGCAAAAGCAAACTTACTACTATTTTAGTTGAATTGATTAAAATGAACATCAAGTAGATGCATCCGTTACCATTCCGATAGCGATGACCAACTCAAAATCATTTTGAATTTAAGTCGACACCACATGCCAATGACAATAACCCTATTAAATTGTGACAATCGATATCAAATAATAAGAGTTTTTAAATTAATAAAATGTAATACGTGTCAACGAATACATCAACAGTTTCATCATTTATTAGTGTACATACAGAAAAAAATCGAATCGAATGTAGAAAAATCGGGCGACAAACAAATATGTGTGCATAGCTGGGGATTAAATGAAAGAGTTGGAATGTTTGTCTGACATAGTTCTTTTTCTATTTTAAGCTTGATTCGCACCAAATTTATACATTATGCATTACCTTTTAATTTATCCAAATTAAAGTCGATTGTATTGAAATTCAAACGGTGACTCGCCGTAAGGAATAAACAAGACACATTCAATCTACCTTCTACTCACAAAAGAGTAATAATATAAATATACATTCGGATACAATATACGATCACTTGCAAAAGATGGCTGATTTGCGCAGTTATAATAAAATGGATTGGTGTTGAAAATCGACCTAATACAAGCATTCTAACACTATATTTCGAGCATACTTTTGCAGCAATCTCCACTTTGAGCTTTGAGACTTCTCTTAAATCATTTGATCTTGATCTTCGAGATAGATATCTGCCTTCAATGTCAATTAACGACTTATCAAATAAAAATAAATTTAATAGAATGGCGATTTTGGTCACCTCTATTCTAACTATTTTTACGCATGAAAATTGTCCATTCAAAATATCGAAGATATTTGTGTGTTCAAATCGACTCATATACGTCGATTTGCAAAAAAGAAAAATTCAAAAAAATTGTCAACCGCCGATAATTAATGCAACAAACAAATGTGATCTAAATGATCCTCCAATCTATTTAGATTATCGGTTATTATATTCATTTTTCTTGCACAACCTATGCTTTTCTTAATCTAACTTTAACTAATAATATCAGCTATTCGTCAAATTCATCGTTTTCATTATCACGGTGAATCGAGTTGAATTAAGTGTAACTACGAGCATTTATAGTTTTCATTATTTGAACTTCTTCGATGTTTTGAGCAAAGAACGCAAATAAATGAAAAATTAAGAAAAAAAAAACATCCATAAGATTTGGGTTTCTCCCATTTTTATTGTTTAATAATCACAAGTGTATTAGATTTTTTTTTTTTTATAAAATCTTCAATTTCTTGGAATTGATCTCATTTTAATTGGAATACAAATGAAAGCAAGTTGGTACTACTCTTTGTGTGTGTGCATGTTTGTATGGTTTCAATTCATATTATAAGCGGCACTCGTGTGCAAAAGAATGAGATCAACTGATTATTGTGAAACAAAATTGATTGGTTAAATTCAATTGCATGTGAACAATCAGAATTCGTTTCATTACAAGATGAATAAAATCGACTGTTTTTCGTATGAAGTTTTATAATCATTCAATATCGTCCAGTGTGTCCATAAGTGAGTGTAGATGGCAACAATCACAAGTTTCCGTGCGGCAGTAAAAAGAACTGTGTGTATGCGTCAACATGTTTGTCGTCCGCACTCACGTCGATCGTGAGTTACGGTATCTTACGGAAATATCTTCCATATATAGTGCACCGATATAGTATAGATATCGACACTATTTGGTGCTATTTCTATATGTTATGGACACACTGATATCGTCAGTAACAGCCAATAGTTAGTTGGACGCGATTCTTTTTCCACCCGAGTAGTTTGTTGATTAAGCATTGAATTTTATTAGGATTATTTATGTTTTGTTGGTTCAATTTCAATTTTACAACACCAGATAAATCGATAATCATGCAAAAAGTGGTGATTTTCTTGGGATTGCTCATCAATGCACTGGCCCATCCAGAGCAACGATCTAAGTATTTCGTGGGGTTAGAAATGAACCAAACCAATGATTTTGAAATATTTAACCTCGCTAATCAAAATGAAAATTCAACCTTAACTACAACTTCAGTAATTATTATTTCAATAAACTATTTCAATCATCCATATCTTTTCTATTATTAATTGAATTGTTTGTATGTTACATTTGGTGTAGTCTGAATGCAAATGTTTGCCTTTCCATATGTGTGCGAACGCTGCATCCCAAATAGATATTCGAAGTTTCACTTTCGAAGATACATGCTCTAGCTATCTTGAAATTTGTTGTTCACCAAATTCCATTATTCCCGATTCATCGATCAAATTCATCGAACCGAACAATGTTTCATTAGTTGCATCCAATTGCGGTACTCGTAATGAGAATGGTATTCGTTTCAATATCATCGGAAACAACAATAATGAAGCGCAATTTGCGGAGTTTCCTTGGCACGTTGCTATTTTTAAAGAAATAAGATCCTCAAACGGTGACATCTCGAATACATATGCATGCGGCGGTTCACTGATCAACCAGAGTGTTATTTTAACTGCAGCTCATTGCTTATATCAAAAGGGTACACCATTATTGAATGTACAAATGTGGAAAGTTCGTGCCGGTGAATGGGACTTAAATACAACATTTGAACCATATTCTCATCAGGACCGAGCTGTTCGTAAAATTGTTATTCATCCGCATTTTCGCCGTAGCGGCGTGTTAAATGATATTGCATTGTTATTCCTGACACAACCATTTGAATTGGGTCCACATATTAATTCCATTTGTTTGCCGAATCCTGACCTTGTTTTCGATCAACGATCGTGCTTTGCAACCGGCTGGGGAAAGGGTATCAAAATCGAGTTTCATTTCTAGATAAATTTGGAGTATATGAATGTCTGAGAATGAAAGCGAGACTTCTATTCACAACTTATTGAAATGTAACACCAGAAAAAAGTGCTGACAGTCAGCATATTTTGTATGGTGAGTTGTGAATAGAAGTCTCGCTTTCATTCTCGGGCAATCATATAAGTTGGTTTATTTAAAAGGAAACATCAGATGGATTTAATTTTTTTTTAAAGATTCATTCGACGATGAAGCCAATTTTCAACATATTTTGAAACGAATCGAACTCCCGATCGTAGCCCGTGAATTATGCGTTCAGAGATTAAGGGAAACACGTCTTGGCTTAAATTTCGAATTACATCCGAGTTTTATTTGTGCGGGTAAGTGCGATTTTGAAGCGCAATTGAGCGAGATTGAATTGTGAAATCTTTTTTTATATATATTTTTATTGGTAGGTAAACCAGGTCATGATACCTGCACTGGTTAAGTCAATGAAATATTTGTTTTTATTCTTTTTTACTCAATTTAATATTCCAGGTGACGGAGGAAGTCCATTGATATGCCAAATTCGTAATGCGCCAGGACGATATGCACAAGCCGGTTTGATAAGTTTTGCATAAATTTTACCAAAAAAATTCCATGAAAAATACATTTACATTTTTTTTTTTAATTGTTCATCATTTGTTTGACTCTTTTGATGTAAAGGCATCGTGTCATGGGGCATTAAGTGCGGCGATCCAAGAGTACCAGGTGTTTATGTAAATGTGTCGATGTTCTGGGATTGGGTGCATGATGAAATGAAATTAAATGATTTAAGTACAAAATCGTAATCATATCAATAGAACAGCAACCAAAGCGATGACGACGATGACAACAACAGCAAATGTTTCTACTTTTTAGTGTTTCTATTGGACTCCTATGTATAAGCAAGCTCTTTTAAATTTTTCCAATATGAAACACAATTATCCTTGATATAGAAAACAATTAATGTATACCAAATCTTTATAATATATACATGTATGAATAAAATACAATGTATGCAAAATAATAATGAATTCGTCCGAAGTATAAGCTCAAAATTGTTCTTTGTTCTGTGTTTCGTTTGAATATTCTTCTATCATGACGAGAATTAAAGATTGAGAAGAAACGCAAAAAAATATCTGTGTTTTTCCCATTATAATTATCGAAATTATTATTTTAACAAGTCCTATATAAAACTTGGGTACCTTTTGTGTTTGTATATGTTTTGTTCTACTTCATTTCATTCCTCTGAATTTTGATTTTTTGTTTATTTCGTTTCGATTACATCAGTACAGCGTACATAGATAAACATGCGAAAATCGCATTACCCATCATTTGCGTATCATAGACAACAATAGTTGAGTTTAGTCAACCGAGATCATAAGAAATCCTGAATTAACACAACAAAAATTCCATTTTTTCTGCATTCCACGATTCTTTGCTATTTCAACATATTTCCCCCTAAGCCATGAAAATCAAGCACGTTCAATGTTCATGGTGAGTTCCCATGGATTATTGCAATTTTAAAAGAAGTTTGTGGTGGATCATTAATTGAGCCGGTGTCGTTTTAACTTAAAAAAATGTTTTAACTTAAACTTAAATGATTTAATTTCAAATTGAACTGGTAAAAAAAGCACCCGAAATTCTGTTATCAACATTACTGCGACCGAATAACTCAATATCTCTTGCTTTCTTTGAATTTCAAAGACAAGCCAATAGCAAAATAATGACATCAACTTTAATACATTGCGACATTTGCTACACATAATTAATACATTCTATAAAAAAAGGCATACGTTGTGCAATCATTGCCAAAACGAGAATTCATGATAATTTTTTTTTGAACTTGGAAATTATCTTTCTCTATTGAAACAAACAAAAAAATTAATCACTTTGTCTTGGGTCGTGCCACAGTAAAAACCAGTAAACAGTGTTCTTATTCTGAAAGTGAATCATATTGAAGTTTGCACAGCCGCATGTAAATGTTCCTTCGGAGATAAGAACGTTCGGATTTTCCCATCTGATAAAATTTTGGAAAAATTGTGATTAAAGCAACATAAAAAGAAACGCAATGAGCTTTTGAAATTGAATTCTGCAACAGAGAGTAACAGAGTACAAAACACATATTTTTCGTGAAGTTTTTTCAGCGATATTGTACGAGCGATTTTCACTCGGTGGCTAGTATTTTATTCTGTGTGAATTTTTCGCTGTAAAAGCAAACGTTCATTTGTAATTTGTTGCTTTTATTATTCATTTTTACAAACCAAAGTAAACAATAATCATGCAGAAAATTTGGATTTTTCTGATATTTCTAAATTTTCTGAAAATTTGGATTTTTATCGGAGCACTAGCTAGTAATCCAGACGAAATTTTGAGACAAAATTTGAATATTTTTTACTCAAATTATTCAGCTACACATCCGGTAACTACTATTTTTGTCTATTAAAATCGTTGTTTTTCAGTTAAATACATAAAATACTTTCTAAAACGGAATCTCAAGGGAAAAAAATATTTTTTTTTGTTGGAGATTTTTTACTATTTGAAATGTCCGTTATTAGATGGTAAAAATACCAAATTTTGTTTTGAGACAAATTACTAAGCTGTTGTTCAACAGCTGATTGAACAAAAAAAATTCTGAGTTTCATTCTTTGTACTCATTTTGTTAAATGCAAAAAAACTGCAGTGTATGTTTTTTAATGAAAATGTGGAAGTAAAATAAATTTTCGGCGAAGAGAATTTTTTTTAATAAAAAAAGTCATGAATTAAATAAAACAACGTTTGTGTTAACGATTATGTAATACAATTTATGAATTTAATAAGAAAGAAGTTTTGCTTAAATTCGGAGAAATTTATATTCCATTATTTTGCATGTGAATTTTTTCCCGATATTCGCATGTTTTCTACTGCTCGAGTTAGAAAATTTTTTCGGTACACAAAGAAAAATATACAATGAAAACTAGATGACATGCCGTATAAAATCGTAATTTTCATACAAAATATCATTTTTGTGTATTTTCTTTTGTGTGGATTTTCTTCAAAATATAAACGAATAAGAAGAACTACATTGAATCTAATATTTTTGGTAGACAAAATTTTGCATGACACACTCCACTCACACGCCATTCGTATATGAATCCTATGTTAGTGGAGAGTTTCTCTGCTTACTTTGCTTGTTATTTTGTCTATCAAAAAAATTAGATTCACTGTATATTGTAATTCCGAATTTTGGATGGCATATCATCTAGTTTTCATTGTATATTTTTTTTGTGTATATTCATAACAGTTATTTGAATTTTTTTCGATCTCTGTTTTCAACAGGATTCATCAAATCCAGTGCCTTCACGAAATGAACAAGTGTATCCAGTGCGACAAACTCAATGGTATCCTCCTCCGTCGAACACCCTACCAAATCTAGTGTATCCACCACTAGTAGCCGTTAGTATTTGCACATTATATTTATCATTTTAGAGAAGAGCATTGGATTTTATCGTTATGGAAAGATTTTCCGCCACCATACTCATAACATTCAAATTTATTGAATGATTTTTCATTTGCAATACAATTCACCAAATTCAATTTATCTAAATAGCAATCACCTGGGTCAAATTATCCTCCTCCGTCGAACACCCTACCAAATCCAGTGTATCCACCACCAGTAAACGTTAGTATTTACATATTTACCATACTCATAACATTCAAGCTAATTAAATAATTTTCAATATAATTCACAAAATTCAATTTATCCAAACAGCAACCACCTGTGACAATTTATCCTCCTCTGTTGGACAACCCACCGAACGTTAGTATTTACATATTTATCATTTTAGAGAAGAGAGCACATAAACCTGGATCACACAAGAAATAAACCTGGAAAATTATTTTGGGATTCCTATTAAAATATTAATTTGTAAGGTTTCCTTATAATATGGGAACATTTTATGAGGAAACCTTTAAATAATAAAAATGTTTTGTTTCAACACAGTGAAGTTGGCTTTGACCTTTGGGCGCGTCAATTTATAAGGGTTTTTTTTAAATAGGAATCCTAAAATAATTTGTTGGGTTTTTCTCTTGTGTGATTTTATATAACCTTTTGCATTAATTGATTTGCCTCTAATATCTGTTGTCATTATGTAGAAGTGCATATGTGTGCCAAAACACCTATGTGTAAATGGTTATGGTAATGGTAATGGTAATGATAATCGTAATACTGTTACTAATAATGAATTCGAGAAAGTCGTCGATATCCGATTTGGAGAAGTTGAGTGTCAATCATATCTTGAAACATGTTGTTTACAAAATATAACGAATAATGCGCCGAAAGTGATACCTCATGGTTGTGGTGTCCGTAATCCGAAAGGGGTATTTTTCAGAATTATCGGTAACAATGACAATGAAGCGCAATTCGGAGAATTTCCATGGCATATTGGACTTTTTAAAATGGTACAAGGTCCAAGTGGTGAACTTTGGACTTACGGATGCGGTGGTTCATTGATTAATCCGGGTGTGGTTCTGACTGCAGCTCATTGTTTAAGAACAAAGAATGGACCAATGTTGGATTTACACATGTTGAAAGTCCGTGCCGGAGACTGGTTAGTGTTCAATGATGACAAATTTGAAATTCAATCTTTTGCAAACGACACTTTTTTTTTAATGTCTCAATATTCAGGGATTTACGAATCACACACGAGCCGTATCCCCATCAGGAACAAACTGTCCGTAAAATTTCAATACATCCAGATTATCAAAGGAATGGCTTGCTTAGTGATGTTGCATTGTTATTCGTCACACAACCTTTTGAATTGGGTCTACATATTAATACAATTTGTTTGCCGAATCCTGATCAGGTTTTCAATCAACGATCTTGCTTTGCAACAGGCTGGGGAAAAGGTAACTAAAATCGGATTCCTTACTGATTCACATGATTTAATTACCATTCTGAAATTTTAAATAATACATACATAGTAATATTTGAGTACGGTAACACAGCAGAGTTTCATTCAGCGCAATACATGCATTGTCCTCTATACAATCGCTTGGATGTTTTGAGTCACATAATCGTGAAGAGAACAATGCATGCATTCTTGTTCGCTGTGATGTATAAACTGCTACGTACATTCGCATGCGACGGACGACGCATTCTCAGCTAGCATACGTTTTTATGCTAAGCATGGCAGCAGCGCTGAATGAAACTCTGTTATAGCGTTTACCCCTCAAAACGAGTAACTAACTCAATTTTTGGTGTTAAATTCGTCGATGCGTTCACTTGGACGAAATTAACACCAAAACTAGGGTTTGCTATTCGTTTTGACGAGTAAACACTCTACTAACTGTATACGGTGCTACCGTACTCAAAAATTACTGTGGGTGTGTGTATACTATATATATAGGACTAAAGCCATTACAAATGGATATAGATTTACTAGATCAATTCGTATTCATTTTTAGATAAATTTGGTGGCCCTACAATGCAAAAGATTTTAAAACGAATCGAACTTCCAATCGTGCCTCATCAATCTTGCAACCAGAAATTAAAGCAAACACGTCTTGGCCAGTATTTCAACTTAGCTTCAACTTTTATTTGTGCAGGTTAGTACACTGTTATTATTTAATATCCGAATTATTGACAGTTGGTGTTGTTCTAATATAGTCATATTATTGTATGTGCTGTCGGAAAAACTTCTCTTACTTTTCAATATTTCATTTAAACGTTAAAAATAATAGAGAAATGCATTTCTTTTATACTCGTTTTGTTTCTTAAAATTCATAGGAGGCGAAGGTCATGGTGACACATGCACTGGAGATGGAGGATCACCCCTGGTGTGTCCAATTGGAAATAATCGATATGTTCAAGCTGGTAAGTTTTTCAAAAACAAGCTTGAAAAAAGTTACACAAAAAAATATCTGTGATTACTTTGAATTAGGAATTGTTTCATGGGGAATAGGATGTGATGACAGTACGCCAGGAGTTTATGTAAATATAATCATTATACATTTTCCATTCTTCCGTTATTATTAATTATTTTTTTTTAATTAAAGGCAAATGTGGCGTGGTTCCGGAATTGGGTTGATCAGGAAGTAGCAAGGAATATAATTTAATGTCATAGCCGTCTGCCTGATACCGTGTTTGTTTTTGATTACAATGAAATGTCAATGCCCTTTCATAAATGTCTTTTTTCTTTGAATTTTGTGTTGAACAAATATTAAATAAAATAACATTTTTAAACATTTAGTCTTTCATTTCCTTTTTAGCAGGTCATTTTACTAGTTAGGTTGTATCAAAAATAAGATTATCATTATCTTAACATAAATCCTATTTCTACTTCTCAGAGGGCCGAAAAACCCTGATATTATTAACACACACAAACAAACACACATATGAAGTTTGTATATAGAATGAGTACGGCGGTACGCCCGATATCACAAAAAAAAACCAAAAACCATCCGAAAATGTTTATACTTTATATTCACACAGAGAGAAATCTATTACGTTTTATTTCTACATTTTTGAGAAACGTCAAAACACAATCACTATTGGGTTTTTCCGAGTGAAGCAGTGTCTTTAAATAGGGACGAACTTATAAATGTCAGAGATCAGCACAACTGCAATGTTCAAAATGTGATTGTCCCTTCGAGCTACAAATACCACTTACCCCAATTTCAGAAAAATAAGAATGAATGCACAAAAATCAAAATTCTAGAAATGCGAAAAAACGCTTCGAAACCCGAAAAACATGTTTGTTCTTTTACAAAGTTAGTGTCAGAATGAAAGTGTAATGTCTCAACTAATGAGATATGATAGTTGGATTACTGTTGGCAATCTCAAAGCAAATCTTATTGAAGCTTACAAAAAATGTGTATTTATACCAATAAAATAACCAGAATATTGCTCAGCGCTGCTGCCATCCAAAACATTCAAACGATTGAATAGAGAACAATGCATGTATTGTTGTTCGCTGTGATGTATAAACTGCTACGTACCTTCGCATGCCATGGACGACGCATTCTCAGCAAGATATTTTAATATGCTGTGAATGACAGCAGCGCTGAGCAATATTCTGAAAATAACGATAAATACATTAAAAATAATAATAATGAAGCATTTTCTACATAATTATTCACATCAAAAGTAACCTTATCACCCATATGAAACCTTAACGCTATGCGCGTCAAATCGACGTTATTCGACGCTATTCTATGAGTATATATAAAATTGTACATTATGTTTTACAGTGCCTGCGCCGTCTACTGTGATTGAGTCGCAATTCAATACACAAAACATAACAGGCAACGCGCGCACATAAACGGAGTTCGTGTGTTACTGTGTATAAGGCCGCATGCTTGCACATAATGTACAATTCTATATACACATGGAATAGCGTCGAATAACATCGATTTGACACGCATAGCGTTGAGGTTTCATATGGGATATAGAATCAGTTTCATATGGGCACCTTATTTTCCGTTTGCTCTTTTAAGAATGTAAAACAAGAACATTTGAAGAACAAGAACATTGAATTTTTCTCATTCGATCGGTATGAAAATTAGAATTGGGGGTTTTTCGGTACGAGAAACCCGAATTTGATATTTATTTTGACATAAAATTAAGTTTCAACTCATTTTCCATTCAAAAATTTGATTTTTTCTATTTCTTGCCACTTCAGGCAATTTTTGTACTGGAAATATTTCAAAATATTATTTTATCTGAAAATAAATATCAGAATAGGTTTTATCGTACCCAAAAACTCCCCAATACTAATTTTCATACCGATCGAATGAAAAAAATTGTAACTCCAAAATATCATTCGAAGGGATAGGTTCGAAGCCGAAGATCTTGTGAACTTTTCAAATCGATCGGTCAAAACTGTTGACTATAGATGTGCCAAATCCGATATGTTAATACATTTTGTATTATGATA